GCCAGCAGCTTTAGATGGTGGGATTATCTGCTCGACACTGAATACACCCCCGAAGCAGTCAAGCGGCGAAGAGAACAAAAATCAAAGGCCACAAAGAAGAATGAGTAAAGTGCCGCAGCGGATTTTGAAGGACTATAATCCAGTGTGTTAACAAAGGAGGATATCTGAACCATTTTCGATCCTTCCATTATCGACTTTCGCCCCAGAACTTTTTAATGCCTCGGACCCTAAAGATTTCCTTTTCTTCCACTTTTTTGTGTATTCTTCTCGCGGTAACGGCTCTTTTCATATGCACCCTCCTAATGATTCCCAAAAAAACATTCTTGGTTGCAGATTCTAATTTTTATGGGGGAGGGGATACTCTTTTCACAAACAGGATGTTATAGCTTTTGCCAGAGGCGCAAGGTTTTACACATCAGATAGATACTTAATAATATATGATGACACCATCATCTTCAAAAGCATGACGCTCTCTCACCACACTGCAAGCGGTGTTATTACGACTGTGTTGGGAATGGAGGCGGGACCACGATTTCCTCGTGCAAAGCTGCCTGTTCATCACAAAAGCTAGCCATTTTCAGATCTTTCAGACTGAGGCCGCGTGGTCTGTGTGTTGTCCAAGTAATTGAAACTTGATTATATACCTGGAACAGACCGAATGAGTGGATAATGCTTCGTACGTGAATGGAGACACACACATACATTGCTCCATTCCGGGTGATGTCTCTCGATATTGCATCTTTCTGCAATGGCAGACATGAATGCCTATTTCATTTTCGTCAACGCACTTCACTGCTATGTCCTTGTGGATCAATGGTATGTACCCAGGCCCGTTTGAAGGATTTGAACTTATAGTCTCTCTTTATCCCTCGACCGTCCTGGGTTAGTTCCCATGGCCCCGTTTCTCTACTGACGAGTGCATGTAGTTGTGGCTGAGCGATGGATGGGTCGCACCCTTCGGAGTATTGGATTTGGAGGCTCGAAGAGCGCGGTGTAGTGGAGGACATTCTGTTGGAGTGTTTCGTCGTGATAGCGGAGCGAGGGGAAGGGGCGGGCAGTCTGGAGGGATGATGGCGGGTGATGAGGTGGAATGGCCGTTGGGAGAATTGAGGATGCAAGAGGCGACCGATGGAGGATCTCTGTAGCGCTGCCATCTGTTGTAGCTGTTAGTATGTATTAGTATGTAGTTGGTGGATGTGCAATGGTGGTTTTCAGTTGTTTTATGTAGACTCAGCGATGCAGTTTTGCAGGTTGATTCTATTTATTAGTTAACTACACTCCAGAGTAGGATTCATCTCTCTTCACTTCTTGACCAAGCTGATTCTTTTTCAACTCCCTCTTCGATTGCCCAAGATGCCGTCAGAATCCATCCATCGTCACAAGCAGCGAGCATCCAGTCTCTCTGTTCAGCCACCAAAAAGCAAATTGGCGATTGTCTGCCCCACCAGCCAGCCTAAAAACCCTTCAATGACATCTCATCTCACCTCATCGACAGGCTTCACAGGAATGACTTTGGATCTTCTCAACACTGGCTTTGAATTTTCTTCTCTATCACTTTGACATATCTCATTCGTGGCAAAAGGCGATGATGAATGTTGGCCTCTTGATTTCATCGCCACAAGATACCCCCCAGAACAGGGTTTGAGTGTTACACTGAACCTCATATATTATACTGGGAGCTGCGCGTAGCTCAACCTCCACTCCGTCTGCATACAGAACTCTATCAAAGAACTGACTTTGATCTTCCCCAGCTCTCCTCCCAGAATCTCTGTTGCTAGGAACAGCCAAACCAGGAAAGGAAAAATGCCAGACGGCCCTCAGTTTACCGTGCGGCCTGTCTCGCGCCAACCCAAAAGCGACTCAAAGGATGTTTTTCGGGTTTGGATGTCCCCAGCCGCCCTTCTACATGCCCACTTAATCATAGGTGAACCGTGTCAATTGCAGCTCGATGGGAGTCCACTCAAAACCGCAATTGCATGGGCTGCCCCTGAGAAGATCCATGACAACGTTGTCCAGACGTCGAAGCTGATGCAGACATTGTACGGATTCAAACTTGGAGACAAAGTGTCTATAACCCCAGTCAAGGAGCCGCTGAGAGACATTGGCGTGGTTCATCTTGAGGAGTGCAGTGATGAGACTACGATTTCGACCTATGGCGAGCTTCCCGAGAAGGATCGATGCTACTGGGAATGGGTCTTGGAACATCCATTGTCTAAGTGTGAAATATTGGCAGCCGATATGATTTTCGAGTACGAGCTGAAAACATGTCGAAGAAGTTTCAAAGTTGTGGCAATTGATCCCGGGAGGGAGCAGAGTGAGAACACCATTGCGCGATTCACTTTGGAATCGAAAGTGAAGATTGGCCTTGTGGAATCGGCGTTTACGTCGAAATCTGGGCTTGAGATTGATACAACTGGTTTAGGTGGCCTCGGCCCCCAGATCAAACAGATAAACGAGAGACTGAGAGATTTTACGGTAGAAGCTCAGCAGATTGAAATGCCATCATTCTACAAAAACAGTGGCGGGATTCTCATTTATGGCGCAAAGGGAACTGGGAAATCATTACTCTTGGCTAAAATCGAAGATTCAGGATGGAGGAAAGTCTTTAGGGTAAACAGTTCTACTATAAGAAATGGAGAAGAGAAGCTTCGAAAAATATTCTCCGACGCGCTTAAAAGCCAGTCCAGTCTCATTTCCATCGACCAGTTGGATTTTTTCGCGCCCAGACGCGGCTCGAATGATGCATTATCTCTCGCTTCCGTTTTATGCGAATGTTTGGATTCAATTCAAAATAGCCACGTTCTCGTGGTTGCCTGCACAAGACATCCGAATGATGTGGACGATACTCTGAGAACCCCCCACCGGTTAGGAATTGAGATTGAGTTACCAGTGCCAACCGGAAAAGATCGAGCCGAGATCCTTCGTGCCCTGCGAGGGTCGGCTGACCAGCCTTGTGACATCCTGTTGGAGAAGATGGCCGCGCAGACACATGGCTACGTGGGAGCGGATCTGTTTTCTTTACTGCAACTCTCCTGCAGAAAAGCCCAAACACGTCAACTCTCCAAAGTTGCCGAGGAGCCTAAAGAGCCAGGTGAAAGGGTTGCTTCTGGTGAATGTTCGGAGGATTTGGAAAAGCCGTCGGCAGTCCCACTCAAAATTCAGGAGGAAGATGTAGCATTAGCTTTACAAGAGACTCGACCTACGGCCATGAGAGAGGTATTCCTGGAAACGCCAGCAGTGAGATGGAGCGATGTCGGTGGGCAGCGAAATATCAAGAGATATCTCCAAAAGGCTGTAGAAAGGCCGTTGAAGGTACATAGCCCTGTTATACTCTACCAAATTCTTGCGTTAACTTTGGACTTTATGTAGTACCCCGAGCGAATCAAACGGTTCAATGTCAGTGGCAAAAAGGGCGTGCTACTCTACGGCCCTCCAGGCTGTTCCAAGACCCTGACCGTAAAAGCTCTCGCAACCGAAGCGGGATTGAACTTTTTGGCCGTCAAAGGTGCCGAAGTGCTAAGCATGTACGTTGGCGAATCCGAGAGAGCCCTGAGAGAAGTCTTTCGCAAAGCTCGGGCTGCACGACCCAGCATTATCTTTTTCGACGAAATCGACGCCATTGCCAGTCGACGAGGACCCGGTTCTCAGGGTGGCGTCAACGTTTTGACGACTTTACTCAATGAGATGGATGGCATTGAAGAGTTGAAGAACGTGCTTGTGGTCGCAGCGACCAATAAACCAGAAACTTTGGATCCTGCACTGATGCGCCCGGGGCGGTTGGACAACCTTCTCTACGTTGGTCTGCCGGACATGGAGGCGCGCAAAGAAATACTGGATATCTGGTTCAGTAAATCCAAGGTTCACGACGAGGTGGATCCTATTGCGCTGGCGTCGCAAACGGGCGGATACTCCGGCGCTGAATTGGTGAGTGTCTGCGAGACAGCGGCGGAGGCGGCACTGGATGAAGAGGAGGAGAAAGGCGAAGAAGGGAGGATCAAATGGGAGCATTTTGAAAAAGCGTTGCAGGAAGTCCCGAAGCAGATATCGCCGGCTATTATCAGGGAGTATGAGAGATGGAGTAGAGAATTCGGGAATAGATAACCGACTCGTTGGTTAATGTCAATGCGCTCCTGCTCCTGCTTTGCGGGTGCATTCAAACTGCTGCTACTACTACTACTACTACTACTACTACTACATAACTCAAGTTGTTTTTAGGTATATTTCCTTCTCACTACCCGCCACATAAGGGCTTGACTCTGGAAAAAAGAAATCCAGAGCATCTGTCGTTACATATTCCCGGGTTTTTGGTGCAAACGAAAGTCGTATGATCCCTTCTCTGAGGATTGATCATCTGCTCATATCGGATAATATACAGGGGGAATTATGCAAATTCATTATGCCTTTCCAAAAGGTCATGATCCACACATACATACGGGGTACATATACAGGAATCTCTCACGTTGCGCTCTGTCCTTTGCCCAACAACAAACTGCTCGCCATTCGCTCCTGAAGGGTAAAAACTAAGGTAGTTATGCCAATACCCGAAGAATGTAGTTAACAAGTCTTTTCCACGCCAGGATGGATTTTCTCTACTGTAACTCTTACATATAGTTAGTTCTGTATCATAGAAACAACTTGCCTGGCCGAGCCCATCCCCTATCGCACATCATGTTTCCGTCTCCACAAAATGCCAAACTCCTACAGTAGCTCATACTGTACAGAGTAGTTATATGGAGTCACACTACCCTGAGAGAACGAAACTAGTTTACGCATATGCTTCTCATGAGATTTGATCTACCACAGCATTGGAACTTGTTCTGTCATCAAGCAAGAAAATACTGTGTAGATATGTGGGAACTATAGTTAACTAGCATATGGAAAAAGTCTGGACTTAAAAAGCATTGCGGAGTGAAAAATAGATGATATGGCTTCAATAGCATCACAATTCTACAAGTATTAGCAGCAGTGGTGAATTAATTGTTGAAAAAAGCAAAATATTTTGCTCCCACTCAGAGTCGAACTGAGGACCTCATCATTGCACGGATAGCATACTAGTGATGCGCTCTACCAACTGAGCCATAGGAGCCGATTTTCTGGAAAAGTGAAGATTTTTAGAAGTATAAATGTCTTATATTCAAAATCGGCTGATTTCTATGTCGTCTCTGCTCACCTTGTAAATTGATGCCCTTTTCTTTTTTTTGCAATCCCATGGTGTTTAACTATAGCAGTATTACTAACCATGCTACGATGCAGCAGAGAATTATTGGCAGCTCGTGGGTTCGTCCCCATTTGAACCAGCTAACTATGGAACACCAGATTTGTCCTGCGGCGTGCCGTTTGATTAAAGCTGTCGACCGCTAAGTGGAAGGGTGGTCCTGAAATACCACCTCCATTACTGCCATCGCACTCCCTGGAGGCGTTGTCACCCGGGTCATTTTCAGCCGCGGATCAGCTTCCGCGCAAAGCTTCGCCCAATCGCTTAACGGGCGCTCACGCGAGTTGAACATGTATAGCATTTCTAAATCGGTGCACCTGGGAGAGGCTAAGTTTCGACAAGAAGGGATTTACCATTCAGTAGAGACGGATTGAAACTGACCTCACTACCCTTTCTTCTGTGGGTGTTAGCGTATTAGGCTCTGGGAGAACGAGGTCGTTCAAGATTATTTTTGAGCCGTGCTTCAAGGCCGGCACCAGGTTTTTCAGAATCTCAATTGCCTTGTCGTCTGGGTGATCATGAAGAATAAATCTAAGGAGGTAGATATCGGCGTGAATGGGCTGGGGAGTGAAGTAGTCATATGTCTGGAAGGATATGCGATCTTTCAGCTGATCTGGTAAATTTGCTCTGCCTTGTTCAACGACGCTCTCCAGGTCCTGAACGATAAACTTCGCTTCCGGCGCTTTGGCGGCGATTGCGATGCTGGCGTGCCCAGTGGAACCAGCAACCTAGAAAGAAATACACTGGTCAGATAAGAACCAGAAACGAGGAATTACGCCACTTGGGGCCAGCACATCAATAACAGTACTGTTTCCAGTTGATTCCCAGCAGTATCCGTTAGCCAGATGCGAGATGTTGAACCCAGAGGCCAATGTAGTTGCTTGCATGGTCATGGCAAACCGTTTTTCACGTTCAGGGAAGTGAGCCAGATGCTCAAAGTAGGGTAAGCTCGTCTGAAAAGCTAGATTGTACGCAGACTCGTTAGGCTTCTTGCTATTTTTGAATTTGACCGACGCATCGACAGCATGGACCGAAGTTGGGAAGGAATCTTCGCATGTGTATCCGACCCAGGCTTTGACTTTTTCGTCCGTAGCCAGAAGACTTGATGCGGCTGTATGGGCAACATGATCAGGTCGAGGTTCATGGAAAATGTTATTTGTCATTGCAAAACGCAATATTCTGCGGACATGGTCCTCCGCAACATTGGCTGTGGCTGCAATGTCTGCAAAGGATATGTCTTCTTTCAATGGCACAATGTCAGCGATATTAAATCGGTAGATCCAACGAAGCGTGTCATTGTCATGATACTACGAAAGCAAATCAGCGAAAAGCTCCAGGGCTTCACCTGAGGAGGCAGTGATCGAACGCTCAATGCAAATCTTCTGATGTAGTCTCCGGGAAACATGGCAAGATCGCACATATTCCGCGCGGCCTCCGTCAGCTCTCTTCGTGCTTTTACGACTTCTGGTGGAGCAGTAGCAGGAAATTCTGGGAGGCTATCCCACGAAAACGAAGGCTGTGGATGGCCATTTAAGACGAGAAAATCATTCACGATCTGCGCATTCTTCGTTATCTGAGCGGCTAGCTCGAGCAAAGACGACGAAGAACTCATAATGGCCGTTTCCACAGATTCTCAAAACACTGGGTAAAGGAAGCGCAAGCCCACGAAAACTGGCCGCCTCTCTTGTCCTTGCAAAAGGTGGAGACGGAAGCATCGAAGGCTCTCTGCATTGTGAGGGGCTAGCACGGGTATTTAGCAGTCTTGATTTTGACTTTGAAGGGGGATTAAAGCCAAGCTGCTATCCTTCACTAGAAACTACTAACAATAGTGATGTGTTTGTTGAAAGATTGAGCTCTGAAAGTGCAGGGAACGTCAGTAGCGGATCATACCGAGTGAGAGCGTGGTGATAGTTTACTCGTTAGTGTGTTCTAAAGTCAGATGCTTGGCACACGCGTCTTCTCTTCTGCAGCAAAACTTCATTTCATCTTCGCTTCCTTCACGTCCACTTGCTACACTCACTTTTCCACTCTCCAATCTCTCAATCGAAACACACAACTCACCATCTCAAGATCCTCCGGGCGAAAATGCCAACGCGCCGCTCTCCCCGTCGCTCCATTTCTCCGTCCCGTAGCCCTTCTCCTCCACCGCGTGGCCGCCCCAGAACTGGCTCATACTCCAACAGACGTTCACCATCAGCCTCATCGCGACGCTCTCTAACTCCTCGTCGGCGCTCCAGAACCCCTCGATCGCGAACAAGGTCGCTTACGCCGCGTTCGCGCAGTCCCAGTCCGAGGCGCAATGGTTATCGTGGAAGACGCCGAACAAGATCGAGATCAGATAGCCGGAGCCCATATTCATCCAGAAGCCCAAGCAGGGATAGGCACGAGAGGAGATATCGCGATAGGAGCTATACCAGGAGTCCAAGTCCACCGAGACGGAGTACGAAGGTATGATTTTTTCTTAAAAACTACGAGTCGCGAAAAAGTGACTCTCTTGAGCGCGCCAAACACTGACGCCCATGGACAGATTGTCATCGAGAAATTAACCAAGAATGTAAACGAAGACCACCTTCGCGAGATATTCAGCGCCTACGGAGACATTCAGAGCCTTGAACTGCCAATGAACCGCCAATGTAATCCTCCCTCCTACCTTTTCTTCTCTTTCTCTACCCGCCCACCTTGATACTAAACAAACCCTTAGTTATGACCAATCGCGGCACAGCGTATATCTGCTACTACGACGCCGCCGACGCCGAGTCCGCCATCGCGCACATGCACGAAGCACAGCTGGACGGCGCACTCCTCAGCGTTTCCATCGTTCTTCCCCGCCGCACCTTCTCCCGTTCACCACCTCCTGCCCGCATCCCATCACGCCTCGAGCCTCGACGACCCGCGTACCCAGCATCCAGCGGTGGTGGCCGCCTGCCTGCTGCACGGTATCGATCCCCTCCACCACCACTACGCAGACGCTTCAGAGCACCGCGAGGCATGGATAGACATGATTTGTACCGTCCAGGATCGGTGTCTAGATCCCGCTCGCGCTCGAGGTCTCCGTCGTATTCTTCGCGTTCGCCCAGTCCGCCGCGCAGGAGAGGGAGAAGAGATAGCTATGGCTCTGTGAGGCGGAGGAGACGGGATTCGAGCTATGATAGCTATAGTAACAGGAGTCGAAGCCCGAGTCGGTCAAGATATACCCGGAGATAATTGAAAAAAGAAAAAAAAAAGGGACGTGCGTATGGAGATGGGAGGAGTTTTCTTTTCATTAATATGTTTACATCATGGAGTTCGGTCCGCAAAGAGATTTGGACAGCATAACTGCGCTGTAGTCCATTCAGACCCATACTCTGTAACCCAATAAGAATTCGACGTTCGCAAGAATGAAAAGATGCTTTCATGTCAGCTAGGCAATTAGCTTTACAAACATACATAATGGTATCAAGCGCTTCAAAAAAACCGCAATATCATCCCAATTTAAAATAGAAAATTGTCGTCTCACAAATCATGTACTCTCGTGAAGGAATTATGTAAGTCGTAGGTATTTGCATCTAAAAGAAGGCACACCATCCAATATACATCGATGCCAAGTTCTTTATGCTCGTCGCCTGGATGATCAATTCGTCTACCTGCCCGCCAACTGATAGAGGGACGGATTCGCCTGGTAGCAAGCCGCGAAGTCTGTTTCGAACAAACTCCAAGACGGCTTCCGGGGTATCGGGAACGCGAGGGTTGGTTCGTTTCTGGTCGTGTGTTAGCGTCGCTCTTGACGCCTGTCGGTTGGTGGGGGGAAATGAACTTGCCTTTTTGTCGATAAAGTCTGTTGTTGGATCGTGGAGAAATGTTTCGAGTGTGGTCATTAGGGAGTCTTCGTTTTGGCGGAGAATGCCTTGTGTGAGCTCGCAAGTTTTTCGGAATGGCCCTGAAAACACGATATACATTAGCTCTGACGGCCATTCAACAAGCCATGTATGACTGAGCGAGCACGAACCATTATATCCATATGCTCCAAATGCATCAATCATATTATGTGTGAGTCGAAAGGGCACCAGTTCTGGCTTATCGAGCATCAAGCCCTGTGGACATGCAAGTCAGAATGCTGTCGCAAAAGTTAAGCACAAGGACTGCCCACCTTGTCGAAAAGACAGTTGAAGTCGACATGGAGAATGCCTCCACTCCCTTCTTCAAAAAGAATATTTTCTCCATGCCGGTCCCCAAGGCTATAAATTCGTGAGCAAATGCATCTGCTTTACCGTAAGCTGAAATACTTACCCCAGCGAAGATCCTACCATTGACATAACAGCGCAGGATCTCGTATATCTCAATCTAGCTGCAAACCATGCTGAAGGTTCAGGGAACATCTCGACAAACCATTCATGCAAAACAGCCGGATACCTAGCCATTTATGTAAGCGTGGGCGTCTAAAATGGATTCAAAAGTGACAATATACTTTGTTAGAAGCCTTGAAAACACTGGAAGTTTTGAATCATCTGAACACGCTTCGGTCAGATAATGCTTGATTTCAGGGTACTGTAACCAAGTTAGCCTAGCAGTTTCGTCAAACGACCCCGGGGTTTTAACGGCATACATTTACCACGATGCCGCGTCCCTTCAACAGCTTCATTACTATCTCCCTCAAAGGCTGCAATCCGTCAACCCATTCAATAAGACCGCATTGCTCATTCAATGGCGTAACAGCATAGGTTTTGATATATAAGCGGCGTTTATTCGACTCCAGATCTCTTTTCAAGAATCGGTTGATCATGCTGTTATATTCCATCAAACGTTGATCTTTGCGGAGATCGTCCTTTGGTTTACAGAGTAGACTATAGACCTTCCCATCCGAGCCTCGAATACTTATTTTTCGTGGCCTCTGC